GAGGTGGTGCAGTGATAAGCTTTCAGCTGCTAATTGAAAGGTCAGCAGTTCAAATCCACCAGTCATCCCATGGAGAAAAAAATGAAAATGTGATAGTCTGTCTGCTTCTTTTATGATGGTTTAGTGCCACTGAGTCAGTTCCAGCTCATAGAGACCTTGGATAGGGTTTCTGAGGAGCAGCTGGTGGGTTTGAAACCCAGACTGTGCTTGGGAATGGGAACAGTCCCTTAGGCAGTTTATTTAATATAATCCTCATAACAAATTAGAGGTTCTGTGGAGATTTTCTTCTCCAACTTTAGATGAGGAAACAGGATCAGAGACTAATTCATTCAACCAGTAAGTGGCAGAGCTGGGTTTATTTCCAAGTCATTCCCTTTACACAGAAACTGGCACAGTAGAGCAATGCTGAGACTCAGTGTCACTGGTTTTTTACTCAATGTGTGTGTGAGTGTGTGTGTATGTGAGAAGTACAGCTGTGTCTTACCCACAAGGTATCCACATGGAGATTCTCTCAGAGGGCCTGCAAGGGGAAGGTGGGGATGGGGAAGGGTAATGTTCACCCACCTATCTGCTCAGCACATGCTCAGAGAATCCCATACTCAAGGAAACATAATGTATAATGAGTAAGACAGATCCTGTCCTCAGAGACGTTTGTCAACTGCATTACACTCTTCACTGCTTTCACTTTAGTCTACATCGTGGCCACTCTCTTGTCTCCAGGATAAGTTCCAGCAACTTGGTTTATAAGGTTTTTCTTGTTACAGCTTCTGCCAACCTCTCCAGATGACTCCTTCCCTGGGCCTCCCATTCTTACTTCATTCTCTAGTTCAATAATTTCCAGCCAGGGGTGATTTCTGGAGACATGTGGGGGCTAGGAGGGTTACTGGCATCTGGAGGGTAGAGACTAAGGATGCTGCTAAACATCCTACAACACACAGGACAAGCCCAATCACAAAGGATTTGTCCCAAAACAGTAATAAATGAGTACACAGTATGTGGAGGGTGAGAAACCTTTTTCTAGAGTCACAAATTCTTGACAGTTCCCAGGATACTGAAAGGTTTCAAATCCATCTGCCTGGAATACCCTTCCCATCAGACATTCTGGCAAACCATAATTCCAGTTTTCAAACCCAAATACCATCTCTCCCATGGAACGCTTTTCAGTTCCCAACCACAAGCTGCCAGTAAAAAAAAAAAAAAACAAACAAAAAAAACTTGACAACTTGCTCTTTCAGGTCTAGAGACTTCTATTGGAGTACCTAGAATAAGCAAGCCACTTGGTTGAAACATGTCTGCTCTCCCTCCCCACCCCAGTAAACTATAAGCACTCTTAGGTAGGACCCTGGCCTTCATGTGTGTATCTCTAAACCCCAGATCAGGTCTGGTGCATGGAAGGCACTTAAAATGCACACGTGAACATGTGGGGATATACAGAACTAGAACCAGAAGCATAGTCTCCTGAGCAGTTTGAGCACCAGGATTAGGCCTGACTCCTGTAAGTACTACTGAATCTGGCACAGGGACCAGCCCATAGCAGGTGCTCAGGGAGCATGTGTTGAAGGTGAGTAAGAGAAACAGTTAAGAACTTCTAGGTGGTCTAGGAAGTGCTATGTTGAAAAAGACAAACGCATTATGAGATGAGAGCTTACCACCAACTTCAGCCTTAGCAAAAGCTTCCAGAAAGAGGCAGTATCTGTGCTGGGCCTTGATAGGTAAGATGTGGACATGTGAAGGGGGCTGGGAAGAAAATGCATTCCATGGTGAGGGAATGACCTGAGCAGCAAAGGCCTACATACAGACAGGGCACACATGCCATGAAAGGACAGGGAATTTGGAGAGGGGTAGAATCATGAAGGTTGAAGGAGTCAGGGTGCTGAATGACGGTCGTAAGAGACCTTGGACACTGGGCTGAGAATTTTTACTTCTATCCTGTGGTAATTCTCTAACTGGAAGTTTCCATGAGAGCGGTGACAGGACAGAAATGGTCTGGTGCTTTGGGAGGCTCACTCTGGGAAAGGGATAGAGAACGTGCCTGAGCAGACTAACTGGTGAGGTGAGGTACCAAGGAATAGACCAAGTGCAGTCATCTGCGATGAGGCCTCAAGTAGAGCAGTCACAGTGGGAGGGAAATGAAGGGGCAAAACCACTCAGATGAATGGAGGGGATCTGGCAGCTGATTGGCAGCTAGGGGCAGGAATAATGAGGGAGCAGTCTGACTCGGAATTTTAGCCCTGTATGATAAAGTACTGACCACAAGGTTGGCAGTTTAAACTCACCAGCTGCTCCTTAGAAGCCCTATACAGGGTCGCTATGAGTCAGAACCAGCTCGACGGTACACAACAATATGACAAATTATGGTGTTGTCTCTCACTGACTCGGGAGAAAAAACAGTCTACTTAGGCAAGATAGTGAGTTGTGGTGGAAACATGTTGAGTTTGGGGTTCCCAAGAGTCTTCCAGTGAGGATGAGGTGTAGCAATGGTAGGACAGACTATGGGTATGCTCTGGGTGACCTTGGGGGGAGGGAGAAGGCCTACGTGTGTGTATGTTAGGGACCCCTGTGCTAACATGTAAGAACCAGCAGATGCCCACTGCAGGTAAGGATAGATGGAGGGCAGACAGGACAGTGAGAAAGGAATTTCTTTGTTCCTGCTGCCAACACCCTAAATCTCTTGACCCTGCCAGATTCTAGGGGATGGAAAACACATGCTCCTTCTAAATAGCCCAGTAGGGGGCACCCTATTACCATGTCACCACAAAGCTCAGTCACCAACAGATGATTCAGAACTTTTTTTTTCCAGCAGAGCTTTTATGAACCAACAGCCCCTCTCTTCTGATATAAGTGTCTCAGCTGTCACCAGGAGTAGCATGAGCCATTTGCGTCTGTGCCTATGCTTCATTCCTTCCCAACAAATGTGGCTTGTAGTCAGTCCATGTAGAAAAATACAAAAGGTAGAAAAACTGTGGTGAAGAGCACAGTGGGGCTGGAAACATGTTAAGGACACGGGGCTGTTGGTTAAACATTCCATTCGCACCACAGCTCTGCTCTGCTCCAGTCAGCTAGTGCGCCCAAGGGGCCCCGCCATCCCCAGTCCAGTCTGGACTCCAGAGATGGCGGTGTGCCAGCTCCTCATCGAAGCAGACACTCGGGGCCTCCACACGTGCCTCTCTGGGCTCTCAGCCATGAAGGAAGTCATCTCCAGTCATCAGAGCCGGGAGCGGCCAGGCGAGAGTCGTTCAGCAGCTGGTCCTGGCTCAGCAGAGTCTGCAAGGACACAGCCAAAGGGGCAGTTTAACGGGATTTGGGTCAGGGCAGCCCTGTAGTCTACTACGTGTGACACTGGTGCCCTGCAAGTTCAGTATCTGGTGATTCTGAATATCGAGTCAGAAAAGACAAGACGTTGTTCAAACCTTAGAGATAAAGTTGTGTTGAGGCCTTATCAGAGTTGCTAAGGGCAAGGGTGGGCAGATTCATTTCAGTGTGTGAGCCAAGAAAAAAGAAATACAAGTGATGCCACTTGAATTCAGGATTCTTTTTGCTCCTGTCTTACCCTGGGATCCAGCCAGGTACCGTTGAGTCAATTCTGACTCATGGTAACCCCATGAATGTCAGAGTAGAACTGTGCTCCATAGGGTTCCAAAGGGTGGTTTTCCAAAAGTAGATCACCAGGCCTTTCTTCCGAGGTGCCTCTGGGTGGACATGAACCTCCAACCTTTTGGTTAGCAGACAAGCACATTAACTATTTGTACCACTCAGTTGGTCAGCTAGCAAATGACAAGGAAGGGTATATATCATGGGCAGGCACTACAGCCAGTGGGCTACGTAATGGGACTGGTCAGAAACCACAGGGGCGTGGGAACTGTGAGACCTCAAAACCCTGAATCCCTGTCTGTGGCTTGCTAACTCTAGTGTGCATACGTGCTGTGCCCTGCTCTACTGATAAACCAAGGCTCAGAGAGAGAATATTTGCCCAAGGTCCCAGAGCTAGTAAGAGGCAGAGCAAGCACTTGAACCAGGTCTGCCTAACTTCAGAGCTGCTTCCATTCCCATGAGTGTGATCCAATTCGTCCTCACTGGGCAGCTGCATGCTATGATAGCCACCAATTCAGAGGCAGTGCTCTCATCTCATGGGCAGAGAGAGAAGGCAGAAAACTATGTTGTATCCCTGAGGCCAGTGATTAGGCCTGGGCTTTGGACTATGCAGGTGACTCAGAGCTGCTGGGCGTCTTGATTTCTACACCAGACCCAGAAGAGGGGAGAAGATGTAGTACCCCTTAGCTAGCTTCTGCTAAAGGCTCATGACCCTTTGCAATGCCCTTAGTTTCTCAAGGCCTAGGGCACCTTCCTCCAAGAGCAGGCTCGGGTTCAACTCCAAGCACCATGCTTTACTCTCTTCCCTATTGGAGGCACTGATGATACAGATTCTGTAATTGGGGGAGGGAACCTCCAGGCCTCATGCACCCCACAGCATACTGGACTCCCCAAGATACCACACCACCTGTCCTACTGTGGGGAGAGAATCCAAGTCCTACCGTGAGGCGGTGAATGTCTTGGGAGAGGAGCCCTATCTGCGTCACAGTGCCTTCCGAAGGTGACATCTGTAAAATGGGCAGCAGTCTGGTCAGCACATGTGGGCTCAGCTCATGGATTTACAGACATGGCATGCAAGTCCTGCCCTGCTTGGGCCTGGCTTCTCCAGGGCATGCCTTCCCAGGGGGAGGGCTGAGGAGTGACAGATGGGTGAAACACATGCTGCTTCTGACCCCGGGGCAAGGCAGGGCTTCCAGTGACCCACACAGCCATGCACACCCGCTTGTGGTCGCCCACCCAGGCATGTGGGAGCACAGGCAGGCCTTTCAGAAGCAGGCCTTTCAGAAGCAGCTCTTCCACACATATTCAGTGTTCCAGCTGTTTCTTGGAGCAGAGTGTGACAGGGATGAAGGCCTCTAGGATGCCGAAGGGACTGATGATGCCCGGTACCGAAAGGATGTAGACAGTGATGCCCAAGTATAGGTGGACACCCACAGGGAAGTGCTGGTGGAGTACCTTCCTTCCAAAAAGCCTCCTTTATCTTCACCATCCCACCCCCGACCCCCTCTCACCTTCACAGATAATGTCGGTTTGCTCCTTCTTCCCCAAAATGAAGTACACATCACTGTAGATTTGGGAGCATCCTCTGATGATATTAAGCGCAACCCCTCATTTTATGGCAGGAAGATTGGGCCCACAAGTTTATAGGCCTTGCTTGAGGCTACACAGAGAATTAGTGGCCAGACAATTCCATGCAGGGCTTGGAAACAGGCACATGCAGAGATGCTCCCACCAGGACACAGTAAGAAGCACAGGAGAAAGCCTGCCTGCGTTACTACAACTGTGATGCTCAGGTACTGGCCTAGAAGAGCACCTGCCACTCAGCGGTCCTGGGTACCACGTTCAAGCACCTGCCACGCCAGCTGGTGAGCCTGTGCTCCTGTCTTGCCAGCTAGCTTTATGGAGGCTCTGTTCTCTGTCATGTCTGAGCATGCCTATGACTGAGAAGCAAATCTTAAACACTGCACTGAGCCTGGTCCCCTGCAACACACACATTGAGGATTTGCCATGAGTCATGGACAAGGGAGAATTGTCACCTGTAGTTGGGACTGACCTGGAGCACACAGGTGAGGCCTGGGGGGCAGGGAACCCAAAGGTACCCTGGAGCAAGCTGGAAGTCCATGAGCAGGAGCCCAAACTGGCAAGCTGTGCCTGTCCCTAGGCCACTTCCCCAGTGGAGTACAGCACCTGACTATTCCAGCTCTTCCAGCCCCCATGTGGCTGCAGGACCCACCAGCTCAGTAATGGAAAAGCTGGCAAAATGCACAGAAGAACAGAGGGTCATTCCAGCAAGCTCATCTTTCTTGTCTCCCCACCACCCTTTCTCCACTGCCTCATGATGCTGAAATGGAAACCAACTCTTGGGTTTGCACGACAGATGTGTCTTACAATCAGGATGTGTGTGAGACACAGGGTTTTGTCTGGAAAGCAGAGGAGCACAATGCACTGTACTTAAAGGATCCAGTATGCTCTGGTAGCGTAGTGGTTACGAATCGGTCTGCGAACCTTAAGGTCAGCAGTTCGAAACTACAAGCTGTTCCACGGGAGAAAGATGCGGCTTTCTGCTCCCGTAAAGATTTACAGCCTCAGAAACCCTGTACAGGGCCGCTATGAGTCGGAACCGACTCCACACACATAGCAACCACAATAGCAAAGGAGAGGGGAGGTCCTTCCTTGCTTCATGTCCTGTGTACATGACTCACAGCAAATCCTGAATGTGTACTTGGCAGGACCAGGCTCAGTGCAGTGAATAAGATGCTAGCTTTAGCTTTGCCCAGCGCTCTTCCCCCAATAAGATGAAGGATATGCCACACTGTTTACTTTCTACATAAATAATGATTTTATTACAAGATGTGGCCACCTCTGCATTAAGGCACAACACAATTACATGATCACTGTGACAGAAATCCCTGTTGGTTCCTTTATCTCAGCTACGATTCTGTGGCACAGTGGCCTAAGGCACTTGAGAGTCTTCCCCCAGTGGAAGCACAAGGAAAATGCCTGCAAGCTGAGCTTCTTAGAATTGTCCATAGTCTTTGGACCTGGGTCCAAGTTCATGAATTCCCACTGGTGCTGAAGATGAACATTAAGAATTACTTAAAAACGTAAAAGCATCTTTAGGTGGTTTTCCTTCTGAATCCACCTTTGGCAACAATCCCAAAGACTTGTCCCTTAGCAAAGGTGCAACTCCATATCCTGGTCACTCTGAGGAATAGTCCAAGGGTATGCAATTGCTGGAATGTTCTCTGTGAGTCATGCACATACTACGGCAGGGGGTGACTTGCAGTTATATGGTGACACGCGGTGTTACTGTGAGCTCTCAGATGCACAGAGAAAGCAGGTGACAAGGGCATCAGCTAATCTGTCCCACCTGGTCCAGCCCATCTAGTTCAGGAGTATCAAGAGGGCCAAGGCACCGGTAACCACTGTAGACACTGTGACCATCACCAGCACAATCATTGGGCTCCATCGGGCAAATGTAGTCCGTTGATTCATCAAACTTCTTTTTCCTTATGTTCCCAAAATGAGAAAATCCTAGCTTCCTTGGCTAAAACACAGAAAATGAAGATTATGAGAAGATGATCAAACCAGAGTGTAAATAACACTGACAATACATTTAAGAGTAGGTCCATGAGGAAAGGAATAGGGCAAACTGCGTCTAAAAAACAATCCCAACCAAAGAGAGTTCCTTATAAGCAATTCCCATTGCAAGGTGGGGAAAGGCCAACAAATAACTAATCTTGAACAAGAACTGTATCTCTTCCAAAATCCTGTGTCTGAAACTCATGTCCTGCTGCCTCATCAGTGAGTTTATTTCCCCAGACAGACTGAGAGCTCCTAGAGGGTGCTGCAGTCTTCATTTTGCTCGGATCCACCATCAACACTCATGGAATCAGCAGTCAAGAAATCAACTGACATATGGCACTAGGAAAATCTGCTGCACAAGACCTCTTTTAAGTCTTCAAGAGTAACAATGTCAGATTGAGGGCTAAGGTGTGCTTGGCTCAAGTCACAGTATTTTCAATAAGCTCATATGCATGTGGAAGTTGGACAGTGAATAAGGAAGACTATATACGAACTGATGTACTTGAGTTACGGTGTTGCAGAAGAATATTGAAAGTACCATGGACATCAGAAGAATCAACACATCTGTGTTGGAAGAAGTATAGCCACGATGGCAAGGCAAGACTTTCTCTCTCAGACTTTGGACTTATCAAGATGGATCAGTCCCTGGAGAAGGATGTCACACTTGCTAAAGTGGAGGGTCAGTGAAAAAGACGAAGACCCTCAGTGAGATGGACTGGCACAGTGGCAGTAGCTGTGTAAACAAGGATTGTGAGGTTGGCCCAGAACTGGGCAGTACTTCATTCTGTTGTGCACAGGGTCACTATGAGTCGGAACTGACTCAAGGGCACTTAACAACAGCTACAATTGTCTTACTGTTGTCACCCAGAGGACTTGCCTCAGCACAGTTATCTGGACCACACAGGGGAAAGGGGTCTCCCTTCCCCTCACAATTCCTAGTGCCTAAGAAGCCATACTGGGCAGTCCTAGCTTGGCCTTCCTTCATGTCTTATCTTTGGCCAGTGTTGTTTCTGATGGTCTCCCTCTTACCACCTCCTCCACCCCAGCACACTTCCTGCCATGGTCCTTACAGTCCTGTGTGTGAGCTGTAGCTGGGTCTGAGGCATCAAAGTGCTGCTGGGGACAGGGCCAGCCTGGCCTTCAGGGATTGTCAGCAGAGCTGTGGCTCTGAGGGTTGCAGGTCAGAGCAGAGGCTCTAAGGGAGGCCAGATTGGGAGCCTGCCGTCTGGGAAAGATGTGGTCTAAAGACAGTGGGACTCAAGCTTTTGTGATATTCAGGGAGCCCCACTGGGTGGTGCTATTGCTGGGACCACCTCAGAACCTCTTAACAGCAGCATGCTGACCACCTCAGCACAAGATAAATGGACCTGCTGCCAATAGGTGCATTCCCTATGTATGCAGAAAAACTCTGACCAAGACCCATGGCAATGAGGCGCACTGATGGGCCTCACTCAAAGAAAGCCAGACTTGGGGTCTCATTTGCTTTGCAAGATGAATGATAGCAGCACTGGGGTAGAACACGCACTCTCAGCTGCTTTACGGCAGGTGCAGCTTCTGAACTGGACAGCGTCTATGTGGACTTTCTGCACACACTTTCTATGTAAAGAAATCTGCATTCTCTTCCTTGTGCTCAAGACTGGCAGGGAACTTGCTTAGCAAAGACTCTGCACAGTGGGGCCATGTTCCCACAGTAGGACACAGGAGCGCCTCCTCGCCCAGGCTACATGTCCTGGTTTGGCTCCAGCTACTCAATAACATGAGGACCAGAGACGGGCTCTGGGGTCTGGCCCAGGAAGGGTCTGGAACTCACCCGGACTTTGGCTGTAGTGGTTAGTGGTGTGTAGGCTGGCAAGGCCATTTTCTCTCGCTTTTCCTGTTCAGCCTCAGGACCAATCAGGGCATTGAATTTGGTGGTTAGGTGGCGTCTGAGGAGCGTCTTTTGTGGTGGGATGTTGAGGAGCATAGCCAGTGTGTCCCCAGTGAAGCGTGGTTCCAGGATCTAAGAAGAAACCACAGACAAAGCTGCCCAATGGCGACCAGAGATGGCTCCAGATGGGTGATGCTGAGAAGTCAGCCTCTGTGGGTACCTCTAGGGTAGAGACTAATGCTCACCCACTCATTCTGAGTCTCACTCCCCTCTCTCCATCTGAGTACACACTTGTACTGACCTCACTTCATAGACCAACAAAGAACTGTGACATCCTCCATTAGGCTGTCTTCCAGAGTCTATACTGGGTACCAGATGAGATCCATGCCACCCCATCCCTCATCTCTCCTCTGGCTTAGCCATTTGATATATGAGGGTGGTGAGGATCAGATCATGGCTGGCAGGAATTTCATTCTGATGGCCTCCCCTCACTTCCCAAACCCCTATCATCATGATCCTCTAGAGACAGATGCAACTGCTTGGCTAAGGGTTTGCATTCATGCAACCCCACTGACCTAGAATACCTTTGGGTCTGTTGTCTTCCAGAGGCTATCTTGATTCCAAGAGGTATATGAATCCTCAGTCACAAATTAGTAAAATACTTCCTTTGAGATTTTAATTAATGGAAGGGTTTCAAATGAGATACTAATATCCTTTCCTAGAATTTATGTCTGACCCTTAGAAAATCCATTTCTGGATACCCTAGTTGGCACCAGGTGTGGGCAGGTGGGCTAGTACAAAGAGTCACTCACAATGAGACCTCCATGGACACCACTCCCTCGAAGGTTGGGTGCATACTCTGCTAGGTCCACAGAACGCAACCACTCCATCACTCTGTGGTTGGACCATTGCACAACTTCAGAAGGAGAAAGGTTACTCTGTGAGAGGGAGAAGGAGAATGAAGAAATTCGGTTATTAGTCATAACCTGCCCCCTAAGGGCATCTCACACAGTGCAGACCCTAGACGGTTCATCAACAGAAAAGATCCTTCAGGCCTAGTGACCCAGACCAGCCAGAATCATAAGGTTCTAAAAATAGAGTTCTTGTTAAAACCTGCAGGACCATCTACACTGAAAAATCTGATTCCAGAAATCTTATCACTCCTGAATTCCCAGGTTATATTTGGACCTAAAAAATGGAAGCTTACAATCATTCATTCAGTGATTCAACAGAACTCTGAACAACCTTTCAGCTTGAAGGCCCACAAGGAAGTCCAAGATTCATGGAATATTACCAGGGACTTTGCCAGGATCTTGATTGCTATGTTTACCTACAGACTTACTTCTCTAGCAAAACCTGCTCATGGACCATCACCGCCCCCACCCCACCCCACCCTACTCCCCACCCCACCCCCCACACACACCTAGGGCTGGAGGTAACTTAATTTGGTTTCTATTCTGAAATGTCTGGTTCTTTATGGTCTCCTTTTTTATTCTTCCTCTCTAGCTCTCATTTGCCTACATTGGCACTTTTCTTTCTGTTTTGTTTCTTTCCCTCCATTCCTTTGCACCACCTCCTTTGGAAAGTTCTGTTGCTAATGCCCTTTGGCTCACAGCATGTATTCACTCCAAAAGCTCCATGCCTCTAAGTTCTCTAAAGGAGGGTGGGAGCATGGAGATCTAGGGCTGTCCCAGGAGAGAATACAGATAGCAGGAGTGTTTAGGGTACCATCAGGCAACTGAGGAGCACTAGCAAGGGGAAGAATCCCAAGCACCGTGGTCCAGAATGCAGCCATTTCTGAGACAATGCCAGTCTTGCTATCTCTCAGCTGATGTTTCAGGTGTCCTGGGGCTCAGGATACCTGTGTGGGTCCGGTCCTGCCCTCACCTCATCAGCTGGCCGCCGGTGTAGACAGTGGGGGTTAAACTTGTTGACATGCAGCACATGGATGGCACATTTGATACTGAGATGATGTAGTTGGCTGGTGACTTTTAAGAAGAGTAGATCATTCTGGAAGAGTAAAGTCTTGTTTGATGAATAGAGTTACTAGAGTGACAAAAGACCTCCTAAGGTCCCTCTCAGACCACATAAAGACAAATCTACTGAACCCAAGGAAGCTGTATATGCACATGGCAACAGCTTCTTTATTGGAATAGTCTGTGCTTGGCTGCTCAACATGAGTCGATTCTGCCTCATGGTAGAGTAGACCCCAACTTCATAGGGTTTCCAGTGGCTGTGATCTTTCTGACGTGCTTCTGGGTGGATTTAAACTGCACTGCCAACCCAATGGCACTCAACAACAAGCAGCCAACCTTTCAGTTAGTTGTTGGCCGCTTCACAATTTGCACCACCCAGAGACTCCATTCTACTAGGAGGGACCTCTTAAGACCTTAAGCATATGAAGGAGGAGGTTGAATCAGGTTTATATGACCACCATGGATACACCTGAGCTGAGCGCTCACAGGACAACCTAAATCTTTAAAGGGAAACTCCTCACCACAGTTAAGTATTGCAGCATTCGTCCATCAACTCTGGATTCATGAAACTGGTCTTTGTATTGGGGTAGGCCAATATCATCAAGCCACCCTATAGAAACAGGAGAAACAAGTAGGTCAGGATTCATGAGAATTGGTGAATGTGGAGGCAAAAAAAGTGGGGGAAGGCAGCAAATGATATCTTTTGAGGTTCTAGTTTTATTCCCCCAAAGTTTCAATAGTCAATCTGCCTTTCACAAGGACATAGAGATCTTTGAGGCACACATTCTACAAGGGAACTCTCCCCTTAGTTGCTGCTAGAAATATATTTAACACATACACGCCCATACTTACGTGTCACCCAAATGTGGTCTAGCAATGCAGATTTCTCCTCCTGCTTGGTATTGATGGCTTTCACTGCTAAAACCAACTTCTTCCTGTGTAGAGGGTGCTTAATTCCTAGCTCCTGAAATTGACAGACAGAAGACTGGATGTGCAATTTAGGTAGGCACAGTGGCAGAGATACTCTGAGATATGCACATCTCTGCAGAGTGCTCTGAGATGTTAACCTGTAGTTACAGAGAGAAGCTCTGCCTCCTCTTCATTCTTTATTCCATCTGCCCATGTATGGGAGGGGAGGAGTCCAGGAGGGAAGACCACACCTCCTGGTGCATTTGTCTGGGAAGAAACGGGAGCCACCTTGTCTGGAGTTCAGTCCTTACCTTTTCCATGTCCTGAGGGGTAGCTGTCAGTAATGTGTGGCCAGAGTTCACCCACTGCCTGGCAAAGATCACGTACTGACCCAGGCCAAAGTCCTCAAGCCATGCACATACACGTTCTGTGTTCCACTGGGCAAAGGGGGCATTGGCGTCACTGGGGGTAAGGAAAATGCATGTTCTTGTTAGTGTGCAAGCCTGAGGTTCCAGCCACATTATAATAAAGTCTCACCAAATTGAATTTTGTTTTAACAAAAAACCCTGACCATAGAATTTAGTTGAGCAAAATTCCACTGTAATACAATCATTTAAGGTAGACCCTAGTCTCTAGCTACTTGGTGAGTGGGATGAGTGGAGAAGTCTGTATGACCTTCATGAGTACCTGTTTTCATGTGCCACAGTCCACATCCACAACTGCCAGTGCCACAATTGCATTTGGATTAAGATTCAAAACCTAGTGTTTTCAACAAAGGTCAACACCATACTTAGGAAAATACTTAGAAACCTGGGAGAAGTGGAGCAATGCTCTAACATCAACATCAACACCAATAACAAAACCACGCTAATCAACAATAACCAATACCATATTTATTAATGAAATGATTATTGTTGTTGCTGTTGAGCTGATAACTCAAATGTCAGTCAATAAAAGGGCACTATTATTTTTATCACTACTCTAAACACTGTTATGAGAACAGCCAATACAAGAAGCTAAATGATAACACAAAGTACAGCTACCAGAAAGCAGACATAAAAGTCATGATTTCCAGACGACATGACTACCTACAAGTCATGGTGTGTGATTATCCACACACATGCTCACACACATTATTGCTGTTGTTAAGTGCTGTTGAGTAGGTTCCAACTCACAGTGACCCCGTCTAAGGTTTCCGAACAGTGGCTGGTGGATTTGAACTGCCAATCTTGCAGTTCAAGTCAACTTTGTGGTCCAGACACACAAAATATGTATATATACAAATGTTAATTCTATATGTCATGAATACACACATACAAATATTTTTATTAAAACAATTGATAAATCTTATGCATTGTAACCCAAAATATAAATATCTATGAATTTCCTTAAAAAAGAATTCATAGGTCCTATGTGGCTATGTGTATAGAGGTTTATAGTGAGAGGATAGGAGGTGGGAAAATATAACACTTTACTGAGCAACATAAAAAAAGACATGACTAGAGGAGGAGGAGCAAGATGGCTGCTTATTCTGTTCCCCTACAGCAAAAACACTATACTATTTTGTCCCCCTACAGCAAAAACACAAGAAACCAAGTGAAGTAGATATAGGTGACGATCTTGAAACCCTGAGCAGCAAACTGAAGGATGAAGAATTAGATGAACACCAAATGGAAGGAGAAACCGGATGAAAAACAGCAAACCAGGTGACATTAAGTATTACGGGTGTCTTGCTAGCTGGCCTGGCACAGTGTGATCATCTTGAAACAGCAAATAGTGTTTCTGGGTGAGGAACACAGGAAGGCAACTTCAGGAATCCCTGATGGGAAACAGACTCAGTAATAGATAACTCTGGAGTAAAGTACAATGTCCAGGATGTAAATCATTTAAAGAAGTAAAGTGCTGGAAGGTAGGCAAGAGTTGCAGGGATCCAAGAGCAAGCACAGAGTAGGAAACGAGTCAGAAAACAGGTATAAAACTAGTCAACAGCAGGGATCTCTGGTTGTTTGGGTTGAAGACCCAAAACATTCATGGATAACTCAATGGAAGGTCACAAAAATAAAATTGAATCAATGGAAGAGAGAATCAAAGAAACAGAGGACAAATCTCTTGATAATAATTTCTCTAAGGAACAATCAGAAAAAAGAATCGAGGAAAATGTAGAAAGCATAAGAGTTATGTGGGACACTATGAAGAGGAATAATCTACGCATGATTGGAATTCCAGAACAGGAAGAGACAAAAATAGAATTAGTTTTTGAAAATCTGCTGGCAGAAAACATTTCTAATATCATGAAAGATAAAAAAGGTTTCCATCCAAGAATCTCAAAGAACCCCAAACAGGATAGATTCCCAAAGAAAGGTGCCAAGATCTATCACAATCAAACTTTCCAAAACCAAAAACAAAGTATTGTGAAAATGGTTCAGGAAAAAAAAAAAATCACATATAAAATGATGCCAACAAGACTAAGTTCAGATTTCTAAGCAGAAACCAGGTAGACAAGAAGATAATGAGATGACATACTCATATATAAAACCCAGAAAGAAAAGAGATGTCAACCAAGAATTATATATCCAGCAAGATTAACTCTCAAAACAGTAAAACTGGGACATTCTCAGATAAACAGAAATTAAGGGATTTTGTAAAACCAGACCAACCACAAATACCTGGGTCAGTGAACCAACAATATCAAACAACAATCTGAGATTAAGACACACAACAGCATCATCCAGATACCAACCCAGAAAAAGAAATCTGCAAAGTAAAATTAAGCTACAAAATAGAAAACAGGAAACTAGAAATGGCAATGTGACAACAATGGTAATTTCAAAACAAAACTAGGGTGTAGTCAAAAAACTTCCATATAGAGAGTAAGTCTGGTGATAGGGAAAACCAGAAAACTATTTTAAACTTAGAAATATGTGATAATTAATATAATGTAATAACTCCATGATGAGATCTACAATGAGTAGTCAATCAATTGAAAGGAAATTTCCTCAAGGGCATGGCCTGAATATACTAGACACTTGGTCAATGCTTGCTTGTTTTTTGCTGGGTCTTACTCCTGCATCTGGAATCCTGATTCCAGATACAGGAATCCTGATTCCAGTGCTGTGGGTTAATGCGCCAGACTGCAAAGCCATTTGAACTGCAAGGTCAATGGTTCAAGCTCACCAGTGGCTCCTTGGAAACCCTATACAGGGTTGCTATGGGTCGTAATCGACTTGACGGCACTTCACAACAACAATCCTACATCTGGTACATCATCCAACTTCTGGAACATTAGACTTGATTCAGTGGCCTGCTCCATTGTCTACAGATACAAGGAGTTGTGAGCAGCCTGCCTCCTTACCTGCCTGACCTGCCTGCCTGCACACATGCACTCTGACCTGTCGATCTTGGTTCATCAGCCCTGCAGCTGTGTGAATCTGAAGCCTCTAGCCTGATCACTTCTACAACTGCATATGCCAGTTCCTTGATACAAACCTCTCTTCATGCAGACATATATAAGGTTCACTGGTTTTGTTTCTCTAAGAACCCAGCCTTAGACAGAAGACAAAGGTAAATCTCAGAGTAACCACAAAGAAAAATTAATAAACTTTCTCACCCAAAAAAGAAAGAATATAATAAAAACTTGGTAAATACAAAATCAATAACAATGAAAGAAATGAAAAAGAAAATGCAGAAACAAAAAGAGCTCAGCACAGTAAGTTAAACAGAGTGAATAAATTATTAACACCATAAAACACAAAGCGACAGAAGTAAATTCATTACCTATCACAATCATACTGAATGTGAATGGTTTAAATACACCATTCAAGAGACAGAAAGTAAAACAGATGTTTTTAAATGATCCATCAATATGTTGTCTATGAGAGATACAACTTAGATGCAAAGACATAAATAAATTCAAAATCAAGAAAACAGTAATAAAAAAGAGCAAGAGTGGCAATATTAATTTCTGATAAAACAGAGTTTAAGTCAAAATTCATCACAAGAGACACAAAAGGGCATTAAATTATGATTAAAGACTCCATCTACCAAGAAAACATAACCATAATAAATATTTACACACCCAATGACAGAGCTTCAAAACAAAAACAAATTACCACAGTATTGAAAAGAGAAATAGACAGTTCCACAATAATAGCAGGAAAATTTAACATACCACTTTTGAGTTTTGTTGAGTTTCTTTCTAGAGCAGAACAACTAGAAAGAAATGAAACAAATATTCAGATGATCTAAAGAACACAGTCAACCAACTTGACATATATGGAACATTACACCCAATAGCAACACAGTACACATTCTTCAACACATATGCATCATTCTCCAGAATAGACCATATGTTAGGTCACAAAACAAGCCTCAATAAGTGTAAAAATATCAAAATAATACAAAGAAGCTTCTTATCACAATGCTACAAAACTGGAAATCAACAACAGGAAGAACAAAGAAAAAAATCTAATTCATGGAAACTGAATAACACTCTGCTTTAAAATGACTGAACAATTAAATAAATTAAGAATGAAATTTTTTTTAATTACTAGAATTAAATAAAAATGAAAACATGTCATTGCCAAAATCTCTAAGATAGAGCAAAAGCAGTGTGCAGAGGGGAATGTCGAACAGTAAATGCACATGTTAAAATAGAAGGCCGAAATCAGTATCTTAAACCTACAACTTGAACAAATAGAAAAAGAGCAGAAAAAGAAGCCCACCAGAAGAAAGGAACTAGTAAAGATTAGAAAAGAAATAAGGATTCCTGGTGGCACAATGGGTTAATCATTAGGCTGCTAACCACAAGGTAAATGGCTCAAATCCACCAGCTACTCCATGAGAGAAAGATGAAGATGTCTGCTCCCATAATGACTTACAATGTCTGAAGTACTTTGGAGCAGTTCTAGTGGGCGGCGTTTAGTTCAGAGCAGAAGTAAAAGGGACAGAAAACAGAAATACAATAGAAAGAATAACAAGATGAAAAGTTGGTTCTTTGGCAAGATCAATAAAATCAACAAACCACAGGCCAAATTGACAAAAGAAAAGAATGAAAAGATGCAAATAACCAGAATACGAATGATATGGGTTAATTAACACTGTAACAGAACCTTAATGAAACAAAAAGGATCATAGCAAAACATTATGGAAAATTGTACTCCAACAAATTTGAAAACTGAGAAGAAATGAGCTGATTTCTAGAATCATACTACTACCTACACCTAAAGTAATACAGACTGAGGTGGAAAACTTGAAAGACCCATCATAAAACAAGAAATTGAGGACTTCTGGCAAAATGGTAGACCATGCAGATGTATTACATGGGTCCTCTACAATAAAAATATGAGAAACACAATAAAACAGACACAGATGAAAATTCTGGACCCTGAAACTCAGAAGAATAGTTAGAGAGGTGGATGGAGTGCTTGATGGGAGGAGAAACTAAGCAGGGACAGTGTGACAGG